GGCCGAGATGAGGTTCGCGGGCAGCACGTCCAGCGTGGGCATCGCGGCCGTGTCGGCGGCGTTGGTGAGCGCCACGGCGGTGGACGTCGTCGTCGACGGCTCCGTCTTCTGCCTCTTGTTGGCCACGTCGTCGTGGTCGTGGTGGGCCTGCTGCTCCGAACCTGCCTGGTGGGCGAGGGCCGAGGCGAGCAGCTGGCCCGTGATGGTGACGATGCCCAGGCCGCGGACGTTCTGCCACTTGAGCTTCTTGACGAGGGGGTCGGCCAGCTTCACGACCCAGGCGTTTGTGTCCATGCTGGCGTCCACCCAGGTGCCGACCTCGGGCGTGAAGACGTCGACAGAGCGGTCCCCGTCCGACGCCAGCGCGGCTCGGCAGTCCGCTGCGAGAGCCGTCGTCTCTTCCCGAGTGCCCGCCACGAGGATCAGCTTGCGCGGCTGTATCAGGGGGATCAGCATGTTGAGACTTCGCTTGTCGTGCAGTCCGCTGAAGTCGATCATGGCAACCCGCAGGTTCACCGTCACCGATTCCGTCTTGTACACCAGCTTGCATGGGCCCGTGGGTTCCTCCGGTTCGGCATCCTCGACAGTGTCCAGCTCGTCCGTAGCAGCACCATCGGCCAGGTCCATGGCTTCGGCATCGTCAGCCGTGGCCGTTCGGTTCATGTTGGGCCGCTTGTTGGCACCAGCTGCCTGCTTGGCGACATCGTCCCACTTGCGCTTCTTGCCGAGCTTGTCGTCTTCTGCAGCGATCTGAGCACCGTCAACTGCGTCGTCCTCCTTCTCCTCTGCCCGTAGGTAGTCTTCTGGGCGAATCAGCTCGCCAAAATCGTCGGCCCTCTTCCGTCGGATGGCCATTGGAAACGAGCGTTCTCGGCCCCTTTTGCCGCGTGTGTCAAAATCGTACACGTTCTTCTTCTTGATCAAGATATTGATGCCCAAGTCCTCGTCTTTGAGAACCACGTTCTTGCGTCCTGCCTGGCCCATGGTAGCAGACACGTTGAGGGCCTTGCCCTGCTGCTCACCCTCGTCTTCCGAATCGGACGAAGATTCGGATGAAGCATCATCGACGACGTCGGTAGCTGTTTCCAGCACACCTGCTCCGCCGGCCTGCTGAGTTGCCTGCAGCTGTCTCTGCGTCGCTAGCCACTGCTGATATATGGCGAGATCGTCTCCTTCTAGAGGTTCACGGAGAGCTTCGCGAACCTCCAGTTCCCGGCCGCCTCCGTAAACCATCTCCAGGGTGTCACCAGTGCTGGCGTGCTCCATAGAGACACCATCTCTCCTCTCTTTCCACCATTCCCATAATGTCCTTGAAATCGAGGGAGCATCTTCCCTGGACAAGCTAGGCCGCTCTGTCAAGATGACCAGGTTTCGAGAGTCCCTGGCCAGACCCTTGACGAGGTCCTTGGAGAAACCCCATTCCATGGTGATGTCGCTGGCCAGGATCACGCGACCATGCGTCTCTCCGTTCTCGATATTCTGGCTGAGAAGCTTTGTGATTTGGGCTTTTCGCTCCAGCAATCGCAAGTATTTGAAGTCGAACGGCGCCCCTTCTTTCTTCTCGCTGCCTCCATTGACCTTTCGCTGACCTTCGGCAAAGGCCTCGAACTCTTGGACGATGTTGTTGTCCATCCACTCCAGCATACTGCGCGCATACCTCATGGTACTCGAAACGTTGCGGCCGGCCAGATACAGCTTTGAGTGCTTGAGCACGCCGTCTCTGTTCGCAGCATCCGTGCGCCAGGCATGCTCGAGAAGATAGGAAATCTCTAGGACCCTGGCGCTCGAGTCTACGGGGATGAGTACCGTGCCGCCACGGCTAACGCACGTCTTGATCATTTCAAGGAGATGTTCGTCTCGCTTCGCACGACCACCCGCCTGCGCGGTTCTGTCTGCGCCGCGAGAACTGCAAATCAAGGCAGTGGGCTTGCGCAGCTGCTCGATAACCTCTGCGCCGCCGCCTCCAGCACCTCCAAGCCAAGCAGCTCCAGCGAAGACATTCTCACGAGCTTGGTTCCAGTCCACTGCGTACACGATAGACTCCAGGCCGTGCTGAATGTGCCATATCGTGCCACCGAGGGTGTGGCCAGAGTTGTAGGCCGTGATGGTTAGGCCATTGAGCGGAGGGGAGAACGGCGAGGACAGGGGTTGATGCGGCTGCGAGTACTTGAGCGGCTGGATGAGAGAAAAGTATCGCGCAATCTCTTCGGGCGTGGGGGATTGCAGAAGCAGGTTTTGCGCAGTCGCGGCGGTCTGTGAGTAAGCGTATGTCGACTCGGAGAGCGAGCTCTGCCGGATGGTGGTGGCGGCCGCGGGAGTGGAGGAGTAGAGGTCTTGGGTGAGGGTTCGGCCGAGGTCGATGACGGGGCGAGTCGCATAGACGGGAATGCGGGTGAAGAGGGCGATGTTCTTGCAGCAGTGGGCATATGCGGCCAGGTGCGAGACGGTGGCGTGGGTGAGGAGAATGAGCGAGAGTGTGGGAACCTGCCTGTGGGGAAGCCCGTGTTAGCTGTGCCTTTTCTGTTTTGCTTGCAATTGCCCTTGCTCGAAGCTAGACGCTTGATGCTCGATATCCCCCATCTTGCCATACTCCGTTTGGACATGTTCCAGCTTGGTCTGTACCTACTTTTCCAGCTCCTCGAGCTTGTCGCTGCTAAAGGTCTCGTCCCAGCCCAGATCAACCAGCACCTTGACTCCTCCATCGAGCTCCAAAAGCGACTGCGACGCGAGCGACTCCGACAGAGCGCCCTGGAGCGGGCAGAAGGTGAACATGGTTGTCGATTCTCTGCTGCCGCGATGGCAATGCTTTCGGTCGAGTCTCTCCTACAGCATGACTTGTCGTTTCGAATCCGAGAAGCTGAGAAAGGCGCCTGAAGATCAGTGGCCGCTGTCGAAGGAAAATGCTGGGCGAGTTTGCTGGGCGAATCGCGTCGCCATGCTGCATGTAATTCTTGGTTGGTGGATATCAGAAGAGACATGAAGGGACATGGGTTGAGTTTCGGTGCGGGAACGGCAATACTTTGTTCCCACGACCGGCGGGTCGGAACCGGCTGGGAAATGGGGAGCTTTCCGCTTTTGGGTTTGCGAATAGCTTCGATTCGTTTGAGTACCTAGCTTACATACCTTATGCAGACGCGCAACCACCTACACAACACAAAAGTGTAGTAGGACCTTTACCTAGCTACTAGATTCTAGCAATATCATATCTTGATCGTTGCTGCCGTTGTTATACACGTCCCGTATTACAATGCGTCTCTAGTAGTCAAAGAGAGTTCTACTTCGCATCTAGACTGGGTGCCGGTTTCAGTACAGAGTACCATCGACGCGATAAAAGATAATTCAATCCACTCGATTCATAACCAAGAAGCTATCTACTACCACCATCCTCGTGTATCAAGTCAAAACCACACACCTGTGAACAGTTTCCCGCTGGGTAAAAACACAAAGTAACGATAACAATACCGCTGATAAAGTCACAACCGTCGCACCGTACAGGCTGCCGCCGTCGTAAATCATTCTTCCGACAAGTGCCCTGAGATGGCGCCTTGCTCGTACAATTGCCTGACGCATCCAGGCCGGGAATGAGAGCCACGGGAACTCTCTCCGAACTTTGCCATACTCTGCCAAGATTGGTTATCCACAAAGGTCGTTTCCGACCCGAGATTCGACCATGCGCGGACGACGGTTGTCTCAGAGGAGGCCTGGACAGCAAAGTCTGTCTCGCACCCGTAACAGGAGCCAACCATCTCCTCTCCAGTCTCGAAAGCATCGTTGATGGCGATTTCAACACGCAGCCCGCGAGCCACGGGACCCCAAGCACGGCAGCAGTCTCGTCGTGCCTGATATCGAAGAGCTTGTGGCAAGCTGCGGATCCATGGATCACCAGCGGAGAGTGTTATTTGGTGTTGGCATATGTGGAGATACCCCAGGGACTCTTGGGATACATCTTCGACAGTCTTATCGAACTTCCAGGTAGACTGAATGATGTATTGTCCATCGACAACCTTTGGTAAAACCGAATAAGTGCCAGTGCATTCCTTAAGCGCGGCATATACTCTTGTGTCGATGAGCATGGAAAACGGTTGCAGTAGGTTGTTGAGGTGCTTTTTATATTTTCTCTGGAGAACTGGCCCGCCGTTGCCCTCCTCTTTGAGGAGGCGAGTATACTTCAAGGCGATTTGGGCATGTCGATAAAACGTAACGTATTCTTCGCTCCAGCGAACGATGTCCATTGGGGACCCTTCCTCGTGACGGCATGAGAATTGCCACCAAGAAGATGGAGTATCCTCTTGGTCAATTGTATGGAGTTTCATACACTGGTGGCAGGCCAAGAGATTGGGTTGACTGTAGGCCATGGTAAAAAGGAACCGTGAGCGCTGATCAACGCCCAGCTGGCCGGATGAGAGAGGCTGCCCGCCATCCTCGCGCGCCTTGTAGTTGTCTATGAAGATTGCCCGCAGTGAAGAGCAGGTTTGTGCCAGTAAAATACGCTGGTATTGTGGAAGTTGCTCAAAGATGAGCAGGATCATCTCGACAGGGAGCTGAAGGATGGCGCATGATGGATCTTGCTCGGCCTTCTTGGACGTGAGGCTGCGAAGCCAGCGACCGACCATGAGACTCATAATGATGGCCGTGTCGGTAGTGAACGATTGTGAGAGAGTTTGTGCGAGGGTGGATGATTGCTTATATAGAGATGGTTGTGATGAAAGCAATGATTTGAAAGGCTGGGAAGTTCAGAAGGTCAAGAAAATCGTGAGGAGGGCGGGAAAGAAACCGAGAGAAAGGGGGACGGGGGGGCAATGTGTGATTATATACCCTTGGGTGGCTTCGTTCCCAACATTTGAAGCCATGGTAGGTTTGTTTACACGCTTGGCTAAACTCACATTACCGCAAGATGCATACACAGAACAAGTTTAAAGACGGACTGTCTTCTGAAGGTTCTGTGGCGTGTAGAGGTTCCAATCTTGCCCATCGTCGTTGATAGAGTTCACAAATTTGCTTCATTGGGAATAAAAGGGGGGTCATTGAAGCTTCATGTGGTAAGGCTGAGCGGCGCCAGGCGGTTGTCCTGCCACCACGCAACTCAGTATCATCGATGTCAATAACAATAGTCATCATCATACATGTCGCTAATCTATGCGAGATGGCAACTTGTAGTCGAACTCTAACTGAAGCTTTTGTTGAGCCATCACCGGACGGCGCTCTTCGGCTTCTCTCACGCCTCTCCTTTACGCTTCCCAGTATTCACTCTACAAGCTTGACGTTCAACAATACCCTGCCTGGATAGTGTTCCCTCTCTCTTACTGCCTAGTATTTGGCTTACGCTCTCTGCTTGCCGTGGCCCATCCCCCCCTGATGTTTCGATATTCTTTATAGACTCGTTTCTTTCTTTGGTCGGCCACCTTTTCCAATGATTCGATGTGAATGTCACAACTCAACCCACAGACTTGAGTTGCTGGCCAAGGATCTTTGGATTCTCTTCTGCTTCATCTACTACTTTTCCTTTTGGGGGGTTACTTTTGCTTGTTCTTACGAAAACAATGTCCCCATACTAGACTTATATGTGACAGGTATGCCAATGGCTGGCGCTTGTTCCTGGCTGATGGTTGTTCCCAGCGTGGTATTCATCCTCCTCCACCTCTTCATAAATGATTAGATTTCTGTCTTGGAAGAGTAATTCTTCTAAATGGAATATTAGACGACGGATATGTGCATCAAGGAACTGTTTGTACGCCAACCAAAGCATATCCATGCAAGGGTCTAGCACACAAAAGCCTCAGAGCCAAAGAGATGGCGTTCTGTAAGCTACATGTACCTAAGTAGTAACTTCATGGTAACTTTGCACCAGAACGAACAAGGCTGGGGGGCTGTGTGGGCTGGGCAATAAAGCATATACAAGCGGCACGTCCTTTTCCCCCTTTCTTCTTACTCGCTCATGCAATTCTCAGATGCGACATATAACTCATACTCTACTAAGGCTAACCCGGATCATTTTTTAAACTAGATAACTTACACACTTCTGGGCAAAGATGTCCGTCTCTCCGTACATCGTCGGCCCCTCGGCCGGCCACGCGCACACCCACACCATCATTTTCCTCCATGGCCGCGACAGCCAAGCCCAGGAGTTCGCATCAGAGTTGTTCGAGTGCGAAGCCTCGGGCTCCGAGGCAGACCGGACGCTGCCGGCTCTTTTCCCCACGGTTCGGTGGGTTTTCCCACAGGCGGCAGCCCTCCGCTCGGAGCGCTTCGGCGTGGAGATGTCGCAGTGGTTCGACATGTGGAGTGTGGAAAACGCCGAGGAGCGCATCGAGTTGCAAGTCCCGGGCTTGCTGTCCAGCGTTGCCTCCATCAGAGCCCTGGTCAAGGAGGAGGAGCTGCTTGTGCCAAGGAAGAGCATCTTTTTGGGCGGCATCAGCCAAGGCTTCGCAACGTAAAGATGGACTTTTTCCTCTCTCTCTTCTTGTCCTTCCTCCTTGTCGCTTCTGAGGCTTCCAACTGACCACTTTTTCCGCCTTCCAAATAGCGCAATAGCGACATTCTTCGCCGACGGCAGCGGAGGCTTTGCCGGCCTGTGTGGCTTCTGCAGTTGGCTGCCGCTCGCCGACAAGGCTGCGCTGAACATGGCCAAGCAAGGTCTCAACCAGCGTCAACACATGCGGCAACTCTACGCCAACAGCGATGACGAGCAACACGAGAAGCCGTCACAGTTGCAGCTCATCCCCACGCCAATTCTTCTTGAGCACTGTCAGGATGACGAGGTCGTCCCCATTGGCAACGGCGCCCGCATGCGAGAGTTGTTGAGCCGGCTCGGTCTCAGCGTGGAGTGGCACGACTACGAGGATGGGGGGCATTGGATCAATGAACCGCAGGGCGTAGACGACTTTGTCCGTTTCTTGCAGGCCAACTTGTATCGAGCCGATGTTTCATAGGAGAAAAGAACTCTCATTGGCAAAAGACTGCCTTCCCACCTACGACGAAGCAGGAGTTACAAAAGAAGGGGTGGCTTTCCACCACCCTCCCCTACCTTAGGTGCTCAGCATCTCAGTAAACTGGTTTTCCCAATACTGCGGCTGCTATACGTACAGAAGACACTCTACCCTCTACTACTGTTGCGATAATTGTCTGCAGTTGTTCAAGCCTCAACCTCATCCAGCTAGACTGCGCTAAGCAGGGGTTCATAAGCAATAAGATCTTTAAAATCGGCAACTTCAGCCTGCTCACCGTCCCGAGGCCATCTATAATAATACCTACGCACTCTTCAGCCATGGAAGAGGAAGCGGTGCGGATGCGCTGGCTCAGCGGCTGGCCCAGACGAGTCCTCCCTCTGCGTCGTCCTGCAGGCTTGTCGCAGATGAACTCGTATCACGCGCAATGGAGTGTCATGGACGACCAGATCATGCTGACTCTGCCATCGACGACGGACGCCTTGTCCCCGTCCACGGTCTACCTGGCCGACCTCGAAGACAGCCTAGAAAATGATGACGATGCGGTCGAGTTCAGCCAGATTGCAGAGCTGCCGTTTCATGCCACGAGATCCAGGCTGCTGAGCAACCGAGCGGGATTTGTCACTGCAGAGTTCAGACAAATGTGTGTGATGCGTATGGCCTTGAGAGACCATTTTGCAGCCCTGTCTTCGATTAATATATACTGATCTATGCTTCCAGTCAAGGCAAGTTGATACTGCGCACGCATGACCGGAGCGGCAGCGTCAAAAGGGAGCAGACGGTGCCAGCAGAAGCTGTCGATGGGGAGTTTGCCGTTCATGGCCCAACTGTCGCCCTCTGTGTACGCATCGGCATTCAGAAGCCATCCACCAACTGCCTCGGTACTTCGACTCATGTCATCACCTGGAACACTGAGACAGGAGACCTCGCAAAGGTTGAGATACCCCAAGACGAACGCGCACCTCAATGTGTAAGTAAACATGAGCTCAGTCACTGCACCCTTCTTCTGACCGTCTCTCAAGCACAGGGGGAACATCCAGTTCACTACCTCTTCGTATATTGCTCTCGGCGGCCACATCGACCCCTGCTACGACAAGCCATATGCCGTGCTGCGATCAATTCCAATCGCGCCGTCAGAGCAGAATCTTGGCCGATATTTCCACCACCACGAAAACTTTGAGTATGGAGACGACCACGACGCGATAGCGATCCCGGGAAGTTCTGCTCACGGCAACTTCGTCGTTCACCATCACCAGGACCAGAAACGTTTCACAGTCGCAGACGTGGGCTTGCTCACAGGCGAGATTCCAGTAAGCTACCGACGAGATTCGACGATGACTCAAACAAAGCACTTACAATAGATCAAATACTAGTCCGAGCCAGAACCCACGCCGAGATACTTTTCCGACCCAGATTACCACAAGGATCTCTTCCACGTCTTCTCCAACAAGAGCAGTGCGCGAACGCTCAACGGGGCGACGATATCTGACAGACTCCCCGCCCTCGCCGGAAACCGACTGCTGGTGCGGCAACACCTCGAGGAGTACGACCATGACGCGGACAGCTACCATGGCTTCAAGGCCCCTCACTCCTCATTCGGCACCTTTCAAGTCCTCTACCTCTACGACCTAGACCAAGACCGGTGCAAGGCCCTGCGCCAGCTTTCGCCCACCGAGCGCCAGGCTCTCGAGGCGCGGCTCAAGGAGCTGAACCCCGACGCCAGGGCGGCCGTCGTGTCCCGCATGTTCTACGCCTCCATCGAAGACGAAGACGACATGGAAAGGGACGCCTCGCCGGAGTGGGAGGCCCACGTGCGAGAGCTGTGGGAGGTTCAGCAGGCGCGGCAACGGGGAGAGGCCACGTTCCCGACACTGGAGTTTGACGATGCGCCGGGGGGGCATGATGACGATGATGCTCGCATCTTGTTCACGCGCAGCATGGTTTGTCTGCCGAGCGTGCGGGACGGCGAGGCGCTTGCTTTGACGACTTCGGCTATCGTTGAGCTGCCGACGCCCGCGGCAGATGGGTATGTGCATTGTTTTGTAGCATAGATGCCTCTTTCAGAGGATACCGTCGCAAGAGCTTTGTCTGTGTTGAGAGGGTTAGAATGACTGTTGTCTCGCAGATGCTCCTTTGGTTAAAGCGCCTATAATAGACGACTGTTGGAAGCGGAGATCTTCCCCTGGCACCGACGGTATATCTATCGGTTGCAAGTTCGGGAGCGAAGAGCAATCAAGAGGCTGCAACACGCTCAGTCGTTAGAGCCTGAGCTTCCCAGCCAATGGGTCATAAGGAATCATTGCAACATGCCCTTCCAACAAGCCGCCTAGAGCTCAATCGGTGATCCGTGATTGGCCGCAAGCCGATCCACCAAGATTGCCCGGTTAGCTCAATCGGTAGAGCGTGAGACTCTTAATTGGGCACACGTTCTGATGGTCATCTCAAGGTTGCGGGTTCGACCCCCGCATCGGGCTCTTCCTATAAATAAAGTCATTCGATTGAGATATCAGGTGGTTTCTTTTTTTGGAGTTTTTTTTGCCTTTTGTTTTTGTTGATAGCAGTTGTGGAATTGATCTTCGTCTTACTAGGGAGTTCTTGAGACTGTTATATAATTAGATGTGACATCTTTTGAGGTGAGATCTGTCGAATGCCTTAGGGAACTGGCGTGCTGTGCGTAAATATAGCATCCCATTGAATACCTACAGTAGGCACTTACTCACACTCACTCAACCTTTGCCAGACACGGCAACTCCTCCCTCCCCACGCACTCATAGGTAAGCTTATCTATCTCCTCACTTCTGCCCCGGCTTCCCCACGAGCAGCCACATGCATCATCGTCTTCCATCCATCCATCCATCCATGAACCCTCTTGCTAACCTACTATCTAGGTCCTAACGACTCAAGTTCAACGCTCAGTGGCGCCCGCGCTGCTTCAATTCCCCCCCCGCTGTTGCTGTCCCTACCCAAGTACTACCCTTATTACTTCTACCTTGCGGCTCTTCCTCCTCCTCCTTTTCCCCTCCCCTGCGCGCGCATTTGTGTGTGTGTGTGTGTGTGTGCTCGACATATGGCAAGCAAGGCAAGGCAAGGTAAAGTAAACGCCGCCACCCCCCATCCTCCCATTCTTTTTCCCTTTTTGTCTCGCAAACTCGGCATCTTCTTGCCGGTCCGGCACGCAACAACCCCCCTCCCAAAAAAGTCCCCAGGCCTAGATGGGAGGAGCTAAGAGTTTCTTGGGGAGATGACGCGGCCCTTTGTTGATGATTGCTACGTTAGTTTAGTTTAATGTCACTACCTACCATGGGTAGTTCATACCAAACACTTCTTGAGTTCCGTACGGATGGTTGGGGAGTTATAATAAGCATGGCTCGTATTATAGTTACTTGATTCTTTTCCTTATCATTACAATCTAGAGAATTAAAGATAAATGCTGTTCGGGTCAAGAGACGAGAACACTGGGTATTACCTTCGAATAGCGAGCCCTATTAATCAAGGATAGAAAAGAGTGACGTGGATGTCACGCACATGTGAAGAATAGATGTTCAGATTCTGCTGCAAGGCAGGCTTTTCTCTTCTTATTTTTCTATTATTAGTAGTATCATTAGATTCTTTTTCTCAAATATGGTAGAAGCGTGTTGACATGCAAATGAGCGTCCCTTCAACTATAAGCACAACCATCTTTTATCGTAAGTCCTAGTGTCTTGCATAGGTACTTTGAGCTTTTGAGCCATTACGGCTCATCCCCATCGAGCCCACAGACAGGCAATTGTACTTCGGGTAGGATCAACAGTAGATAATAAGTTAGATTTGATAAAAGATACACCGCTCCCTCATACTCTTACTGTTTTGCCTATAATATAACATATATGTGACATATGTAGAGAGAAAACAAAGGAAAATGAAGAAAAGCGTCCGATCAAGTACAATTCACCCCTTTCTTTCGCCAAAGCCAACAACCCGTTGGATTGCCCCTTATTCCCCACCAACCTGGTTCCAGATAGACACACAAAAAATTGGAAACAAGAACATTTGTAGAGTTGTAAGAACAGTGATGGAACACGAGGGCCTCATCTGAGCCCATTCTGATGCTCATCCAGACGCCAGAGCAATGCATTTCAGAGCGCGCGCGCGCGAGAGAGAGAGAGAGAGAGAGAGAAACAAAAGGAAAAGAGGGATAAAGTCGTGACATATACAGCCTCCCGCCAGACACTTTGAGCGTTTCTATGCGTACAAAACAAATACAAGAAAGGAAATCATAAACCCCCCGGGGCTCGCCCGCCTAGATGCAAAACTTGCGATCAAGCATCCTCAAGGCTCGCGCGTCTTCGCTAGCGCCGCCCTTTTCGGCCATGGTGATACTGGCCGTCCTCGGGCTGCTGTGAGCGCTGCCGTTTGCGCCAGACTCGGTGGTGGAAGACGTCGTGGGGTGCAACAGCGCGGACAAGCTTGCCTTGTTGCTGGTGCTGCTGCTACCATGCGTCTCCAGATGGGCGTTTTGAGGCGGGCTTGGACTCAGCGTCCGCGTGGGAGGAGTGTGCAGTCCGCTGTGGGCAGACACAAGGGGCCCGCTGGCAACAGTACCCAGAGCCGGGAGAGGCCCCTGAGGCTTCTTCTCGGGCGGCGGGATCCGTGAGTCGCCAATGGCGGCTTGCGCGGCGGCCTGCAGGGTCGGTTGGTGAGGAGATTCGTGACCACGTGGCGGCGTCGGTCCCTGCGAATGTTGCTGGCCATGGTATGGAGGCAGAGGGGCTGGCTTCGGCGCGTTTTGGAGAGGCGGTAATGAGTTTCGCTCGTAAAGGTTAGGCGTGCCATGTTGATAGTGATGCGGCGCTGGCGGCGGAGGCGGCGGAGGCGGCGCATAGCCGTGATGAGGCGGCGGCGGACCCTGAGGGGCGTATGGGTGAGGTAGATGGTGGCCGGGGGGGGGATGGCTGTAGGTGTAATGGCTGTATGGAGGAGTCGCAACAGGCGACGGAGGCCAGCCATAACCGGGCTGATAATGGCTTGCAAACGGCGGTTGGTGGTGCCCCGGGTGAGGGGGGTGGTGGTGCTGATGCTGAGGAGCAATCATGTACGGCGGCTGCTGCATCGGCGCCCTCGTCAGTGCAGGTGTTTGGTTCGTCTCCCCCATGCTGGACTCCGGGTACATGCCCTTCATCGGGATGATGGATCGCAGCATCGGGTCGTTGGTCGGCTGAGGCAGCTCGGGCTGCCCAGGCTGCGGTCGAGAGTAGTATGAGATGAGGTGGAGGTGCTGGCCGGTCGAGGTGGTGATGCTGAACGACTGCTTCATAAGGCCGTCGGCCTTGTATCGGTATCCCTCCGGCTCGCCATCGTCGTGGTCCTCGTCGCTACCGCGCCCAGATTCGGGCGTCTTGCCGTTGCCCCGTCTGCTTCCGCCAAAGCCGCCTCCTCGCTTACCCTCCATTTCGCGGTACGTCAGGAAGCTGCCCGACACTCTGCTGGCGCTCCATGATTTGCCGTCCGTCCACCGCCTCATGCCCGCCTCGCGCTCGTCCCATACAAAGACCGAGCCGGATCTGATGGACTGTCTCTCCTTTTCGGAGAGCCGCCTCTGGACTCGAGGCAGATGGCCTAGCCGACAGGCTTCAAACAGCTTGATAGCATCGGCTGGAGTCCGTACATAGCCGTGGTACGTCTCCATCTTGTCGGACGCTATTGATTCCGGTTTGTACATGTGCAAAGGTCCGAGTCAACGGACTGGATGTAAATTTCCAAGTGGAAAGTTTGTAAAGAGGGGGCCAGACCACCCAGACACGCAGGTCTGCAGCGATCTCTTTGTTGGCCCAAGGGGACAAAGGGCGCCTCTGGTGTCAAGTGAGGCGCAATCTGCCTGCTATGAGATGGAGCAGCAGAGTGACGGCCAACGGAGCTGTAGTTGCAATACCCCTACGGATGATATATGTCAGTTGACGACGCCAAGAACGTTGCAGTTCGAAAAATATATAAGCGCGCATATAGGGTGTGTGCTTTGCAGACGGGAGTGGAGGGGCTGAGAAGGTCGATGCCAAGAACATTGCATCAATCGGAAGAGGGCCCATCGACATCATATGTACACATCTCGACACTCTCTCTTGTGTGTTGCATCCATCTTCTCTTCAACTCAGTACGAGCTGGCAGACCCGCAGCACAGGCGGAGTAACACACTGCGTGGTGAACGAGCGAGCTGCTTCAGAGGCGTTCCAACTTCTCTCTCTCTCTGATACCCGTCGCAATCCAGCCGCAATTGGCCCTCTTGTCGACTATCGTGTGGGCGATGCCGCTCGGCGATTTGCAGGACGAGCAACTTGCAACGCCAAAAGGATGCATGCGTTTGCGGTTCCATCGTGGCCAAAACACATAGGCTGTTTCCGGCAACTCCTGGAGGCGGTTGTCGCACCTAAACCGCATCTTCACACGCCGGCTTCCCGGAGTGCGCCCTTGGAAAGTCTCTTTTTTTTTTTTTTTTTTGTACCCTTTTCTTTGCTCTTGTCTCTTTGTCCCGTTTGGCGTCGTTTCTTCCCCCCTTCTCACACAACTCCTCCACCGGCAAAAGCCAGAGGGGCAGAGGGGATATGAGGCGGAAACCACCACAGCACAAAGGGAGCACAGCAACACCTCAGCATGGGAACACTAGATCCATGCAGGCAGCCTCGGGAAACATAATCACCAGTGCCATGGAGGCACGCGGATATCGTCGCAAAGGATGGCAGGAAAAGGCAGGCGATGGAGGGACAAGGCAAAACCGGCTTACCTTTGGCAGAGCGTGTATGTACAAAAGCAGGCACAGACACCGTAGTGGCGCCAAGGAATCGAGATCAAACGGGGATAGGGAGGAAAATGGAGGGTGGAAAGAGGAAAAGTCCAGGCGAGGTCGGATAGGCGACTATATGTACAGAAAATAACCTTTTTCTCGCGCCGCGGATGTCGATAGTCTTCAAGCCGTTTCGATATGGGCGGAGGGAAGGCGAACCGGATCGCGAAGAGGGAATCTCGCACGCAGAACAAGGTTGAAACTAACGCTTCTGCCTTGGTAATAAGCCGCAAAGCCAAAAGGCAAAAAAAGAGCAAAAAAAGAAGGCAGAGGGAAAAGATGGAGGAGAGGAGGGAGAATTAAGGTTGGGGCCAGCCAAGTGAACAGGGTGTGGTCATGGATGGATAAATCGGCTCGTTTGACGCAGGGACGTGTGGGGTTGTGGCGACAGGGGGGAGGGGTGGACTTAGCGGGCGGTCTCAGGTGAAGGGCGCTGGGCTTCGGGGGGCCTTTAGTGGTGGCCGTTGGCGATGGCCACTGGAGCGCCTGGAAGGCCGGCACCTCGAGGAACCGGCAGCGGCAGGAGGACGATGGAATGGTGGATGAGGCGTGAGCAGGAGGAAGACCGAAGGAGGACAGAACAAGAACAAGAACAAGCATCGTTGATCAGAGCAGACAAGGAAAAAGAAATAAAATGGCCATGATGGAAAGCAACAAAGGCGATATCGCTACAGCTGCCTTTCTCTCGTTGACCCTCATCATTGGATACGGTACCTGGTACCAAACACCACGCATATATTATCTCCAATAACCTCCCCATTTCGATCCCAAGCGGCATCTCGCCTGCCGTGCTAGCCTCCAGGCTGCGTGCCGACCGCCCTTTCTGCCTGTTTGGTCCCGAGATACTTGCGTGGCTGCCACTTCTGCCAACTGAGTGAACATGCTTCCCGAGCTTCATGTCCCGAGTCTCTCTGCCCGTGGCACAGGGTTGTGAGGGCAAGCTGTATTACCAACAGGCCACGCGTGCGGCTTGTTAACGAGCCAATGCCGTGCCGTGCCCTGCCTTAAGGGGCGGGATGCTTCTTTTTTACATGCCGGTGGAGGGGCCGGACCAAGCGAGATGGAAGCCAAAAGCATCAGACCGCACGTATAATAGCGAAAGATGGCACCTCGCAGGGATCAACACGGAGAGATGGCATCTCATCTCATCTCATCCAGTCCAAATCCCGCCGACGACGAAACGGCTTCCCTGGCATGTAAGAGGATGTACCTGACTGTATTACATGTTCTATGTACTAGCCAACCGCGTCATGCAGAGCCCGGTCGTCGATGGAACGGGCTCCCTGGCTCCCCATGGAAAAGACGGCATGTGCAAGAGGGAAACAAGGACAAATCCGACCTCGAGCATTCGCAGCCAAGAAGAACCGAAGCTGGGCTGTCCAGTGTGTGGGGTGGACGGAATCGGCGTGGGCGCCCGGGAATAAAGCACGGAGTTGCATCGCCCTTTGGCCAAGACACAGCAGGGAAAATCCCCAACCCTAAAGAGAGAGGGCACCACATTTTAATGCTTTTTCTGCTTTTCCACTGCTTTCGTCAACCCTGGTTTGCTCACAAAGTCCGGTCGTGAGATGACTCGTGTATTTTCCGTTTTGCCTTGCCGGAAGCCGCTCCAGGCTCGGAGATACAGATTCGAGGACATCAGAGTGGCCACCGTCTGTTTCGACGCCGTCGGGTATCGATCGGTCTCAAGTTCTGCCACCGGGACGCCTGGAAGCTGAGGCTGTTCGACTAGACGGCTGTCCGTGACAATGACGGCATACCCGCGTGCGCCAGTGAATGAGCACTGTAGCTCTTTTGTCCTTCTCTAGAACATCTCGAACCCTGCGTTTGACTCCCCAACTACCGACACGGGTGCTGCATATATATTAGCCAACGAAGAACAAGAAGCAAAAGGAAGTTGGAGGGAGATACTGCAGACCCGGATGATGCCAAATCCGGCCCCAGAGCTCTCGTCATCTCCCAATCTTTGCTGCGTATCAATCAACAGACACAGCGTTTCTGTGTTACTTGCCGCAAGACGACCGCCTCTGGTATGGACACTTGGTACCGACGCAACGAACATTAAGGTCGTGGAATTTCCTCCTAAGCTTATTTTCAATACTCGCTGACGAAAAGGCTTAGCCCGCCGCCACTGAGTGCATAGCGCCTGTTCTCGACATGGGGGCTCCCTGTCAAGCCTGCCCTTTCGTCCCTCTTAAGATGGGCAAAGAGCCAAGTTGCAAGTCCGGTGGTTGTTGGTACCAAGTTGAACTATCGTTCCTTTGCTGCACTCACGCCCCTCCCTTCTCCCTCCTGCTCCTTTGGCCCTCTGCTGTGCCGTTTTGCCCGCTGATCCGCGCGCCTTCTTGGCTGCTCTCTACTACTAATAGCGGGGGGCCATTTGCTTTGGCATTGCGAATCTTTCATTTTTTCCCTCTCTCTGTGCGCTCTCCCCTAAAAATGAACGAAATAGTAGGAGGAATAGGATACACCCCCCCAAGGAAACGAATCGCCGAGACGAGTCCCATCGTCTGGGTAAGTCGGCACGGGGGCCCTTCAACGGCCCACGGTTTACGTGTTGGTTGAGGCTTTGACGGCATTGGCATCTGATGAATACGGAAGCCTGTACGAGGGCGCCTATGCCGTTTCTTCACATGCCTGCAGCGTCTTGTCGTTGTAGCTGTAGTGCTTGTCCACATCGGCGATATGCCCTGCCAACAAGCGATACACATACCTTAAGCCTCCGGCCGGGAGGACGCATTGCGTGCTTCCCGTACGAGATAACAGAAGTTCGAAAACGTAAACGTGATGCTGAATGCGGCCCGTTCATGTGATTACCGGTTGCCTTGTATGCCACTTCGCCCAGACATGCTCAGCAGATAAGATTCAATGCACCAGTACACTCGGGGATCTGTGTATCGGTGCTCCTTTCGGCGATGCTACTCCAGGCTGGCCGCCAACGACTCCCGCGATTGGCAGGTATCAACCTGCGCGGATGAAGCGGCTATCTGGCCTCATTCTTTGCTTGCAACCAGGCGCTAAAAAGGACGTCGCGTCTCCCAGCCAGGCTTTGGGGACGAAAAGCTCGACTCATCCCCCACCCGGGCCTCCCAAGAAGGTGCCGTGGCTGCCGATGAGGGGTGGGCGCCGCCTTTGCGCAACTGTGATACTACGACTACTTATGCTCTCTGTCTGTGGGATCTTGGTTGCAAAGCTCTCTCGGAAACTCCATCCAACAAGCTTGACTCTGTCTCTCACCCTACCTACAACCATGGTTCAACAAGACTTTCTGTCTATTTTTGAGGCTCCGTTCCATCTTTCCCCCGCCGGTGAAATACTAGGTCCCGCTGACGCTGCCCCAAACGATTTATGCTTCCTTTCTTACTTTTTCCCTTCTCAGCCACCCCCATTCCAATCCCCGAAGCATTTCCTATTGGAAATAAGGCTTGTGAGCTGGGTTGGCTTTTGCTCCGGGTCGGTGCTTTAGTCGCCGAATTTCCGACGAATGCAGACGTAACTCACTCAACTCACTTACTTGCACTTCTTCCCTCTCTCGCACCCCTTTTTTTCTACCTTGGGTATTGGACGAAAATAAAGCTTGTATGCGTGCCGTTTGATCCAAATACGGGGTGCATGACGAGGCCTGGCTGGCTCGTATAATCAATCATACAGGAGGGCAAAAAAGGTGAGACAATCTTGGAGAGAAGCCAATTCTGGTAATAAGACTCGCGAATAAGGGATGGCCATAAGGGATGAGGCGTTCGCTCTGTCTTAATTATAGAAATCTCTTGATTCAATGTCGATGACGATGCCATCTTGACAGTTCACCGCCACGCCCTCCTCCCAGCACCAGACATATCGCAGCCATCAAAGGCGGTTCCCTCATCCCCAGGCAATTAATTACCCCGAGATGGCTTCAGAGCGCCTTATCAAAGCATCAGCCCGTCCAGATTAGGCCCTGCAGATTAGGCCACACTAGGCACAGATTAAGCTGGCACGCGGCCAGCACCAGGGAATATCAAACGTCCCAAGTACTGCTAGTATTAACGGCTAATATTCAACGTCAGCCGTACAAGGAAGGAGGACCACCAGACGGCATCTCGGCTCGCCCAACATCAGCACCTGTCCTTGTAGTCGTAGCGGCATCTCCCTGCGGCTCCCCACGATATCAATTATCCCGCATCTCCCAGATTGGCTTTTTGTGCGTGTTGCCTCGAAACGGAACCCTTGGGTCGTAGTGAGAAGCCAGGCCCTGGGCCTGGGGGCTTCTTCTTCAAGTCCCATCATTCATCGCCTGGGGAGCCGCGCAGCCATCCCGTTGCAGTAGCTGTGGCCGAGGCCGCATAGGGACTCTGGCCCTTGCCTCGTGCCACCCAGACGGTCGCCGTGCTCCATATCCGAACATGTGAAGCAGCATTCGGGACGCATTTGCCGTGCGGGCTGTTTTGGACATGCACAGCGGTGCCGATATCCAGGAGGCACGGGCCACCTTTCCAAATTGCTGCTTCTTCTGCTTCTGCTTCTGTTAATAACACTGATACTACCTAGGTAGCTAACAGGCGTCGTCAGATAGGTACAGTGTTATTATCCAGCAGCGCCTGAATCCGAATGTATGTTCAAAGAGGCCAATTGACTCTGTACTCGCACGCGCAACATGGTGGGCGATGCGTCGCGCCGATCCCGCGAGGTTCGCGGATAAGCATGCCTTGCACTAGGCCCGACGAGGGAATCCGCAGTTCGCACAAGTCATGCAGCACGGAAACTGAATCTTCTCGAGGGATAAAGTATTAGTATATGACATGTCCAAAGTGTTGACTCGCCCTTCGACGCAGGTTTTGCCGTTGGGGGAGGGGGGAGGAGGGCATTGGGAAGAGAAGAAAAAAACATGCTTATCCATCCCATCGGGTTCCGTCCGGTACATGCATGTAGCTGTACTGCGCGAGCCCTCGCGCCAGAACCGACGCAGCGAGCACAGCGGCCGCCGCATGCACGTACCTGTACCGGCGAATGACGTGACGACAGATACGCCGTCCAACTTCGTCAGCGGAGCGCGAGATTCGGTTGAGTCGGCCAGCCTTGTCCCGGGGGCTGTCATCCGCGCACGCCCCCTCCTTGGCCGGAACGGGCCTAGAAGGATACCGAGGGCCTGTGTAGGTAAGGTTAGGTACGGCGCACTTTGTGCTCGCGAGGGAAAGAAGCAGCCACAGTGCCCTTCTGCAGCCCCGTTATGACGTCGTCGGCAGCACGCCGAGCCGGCTCCGGCGGCCACCAAGAAGCCCTTGGTATGGGTGCTGAGACACGGTTTCGGCTCTTGGCTTGGGTCGGCATGCAAGGCTGGCAGTATACGATACGGGCAGGAGAGGAAAGGGGACAAGAAAGAGGAAGGCATCGCGATAGTCGTGCGGGCATCATGATCTGCTGTCGTCGTTGCATCCAGGGACAGGAATCTGGGAACGTAAAACGCGACGAAAACGAGGCCTCCCGCGCAAAAGAGCTTATTCTCACGTGGGCAGAAGCGGACGGGATCCTATCCCCCCAACTACACACAGTGCGCGTCCGCGCATCGACAAGTGCTGATAAGCTGCTGACTACTCCTACCGACTAATTTACAGTCATACTTTACTGCGACTACTGCTCCGTTGATTACTACTAGGAGGTAGGTAGCAATGGTAGGTAGTATTTGCGTGCTGGTCGAGACTTTTGGATCGGCCTCCCGTCCGGGTAATCGGCTTCGACATCGCTTCTCATCCCACAGTCACGGTTTCAGAAATGGAACTCGGGGCCTGCTTCGACGGGCAGGACTGGGCAGGGGCGAGACGAAGGACAACGACGACCTTCCCAATCGCTCAGGTCGCCGAGAGATGTGGCCACGATTCGCTTTTCCCGTTTCCGCATCTCACGTCTCTGCGGCAGATACATTAGGAATCTCGGCTCGATACGTGTACTTATACTTGCTTGTCCATGCAGCAGCAGCCATGCATCCTTACTCGTATGCACACTTTGGGCAATATGGCGAGAATGTCGTCGTTGATCCCATTCCATGACGAAACAGGGCTCTCATGCTTCCTTTCTCTGCAGTGACCAAAGACATGTCACCATCTCAAAACGACTGCATCCCATCACCCCCAACCCGACCATCAAACGGGCCAAGCAGCACAACGGTGGGACAAGGCAGTATTACTGTACGAGCAGCTATAGTATTGTAAACACGGACACGGCCAAAGCATTGCCTCCTATTGGTCTGCAGCAAGACTCCGATGGGGACACTACGGCAAAGTCGGCCGGGGAAAAAAAAAGTCTTGTTTCCTTCTGCATTCTTCTCGTGAGAGGTTTGGCCCACCAGAGAGCCAAGCTCGCGCGTTTAAGCATGAATTTAAGCGTTGTCAGCCACTATGCTTGGCGCGGCAGCTATCGTCCAGAATTGCCAAATCAAGGGGGGGAGGGGTGTCTGTAAGCGCTTCTGCTGTACAAGTATGCCCCCTTTCTCTCCTTCCTTTTCTCTTTTGTTTTCTGATTCCTCTTTGCGCATGCATTGGGACATGATGGAGAGATGCTCCTTGGCTCCTCGCATTGCGCCACTGTGCAGCAGCGCGCCTTCTCTCCTTCATGTTCTTCGTCCCAGCCGGCAAGAGCATAAGTCTCAGCTAGTATCTATTCCGTTCGCACATTCCTCCTCGAAAGAGTGGAGGCCCCCCCATGGCTTGCTTTGCGGGTGGGGACGCTTGCAGCACTTGGCGTGGATCTAAGATGCCGTGCTTGCCGACTTGGCTCCCAGGGAGGGGTGTGGAGTCGCGAGTCAAAACTGGCAAGGGCATCTCGTGGCATTGACCAGTGCCAATGCTGATCCTGAGCGTCTCTATTGGAAATGTGGCAGTAGTAATAAGCATGGCCTGATCATTATAATACATGTACATGACGGATTCCGGAGTGCAGTGCTGCGTTTCATTTCCGACGGCTGTTGGAGATGCTTGAACATGGTATCGGCTGCGCTGACCTGCAGTTGAAAGTGCCGGTGAAAGTGTAGATTGAGTGAGTGATTGTGAGTGAGAATGAGAGAGTGAAAACCCAGTTTGGCCCGCTCGGAGACGCACAGTGCGTTAGGCAAGGCATCGCCCTAGCTTCTCTCACTACTCTTCTACCGCATCCGAATATCCGGCCTTGTGAAGAGGACAAGCAAAACTGCTAGTGACCGCTTGCCCTCATAGTCCCAACGCCGGTCTCACTCTTTGGCATAAGGTTAAATCTATTGGCCTGCCAGGGCTTGCTGGCCCCCCTAGCAAGGCCAAAACGCGTCTGCGCTTCGTAGCTTGTACCTTTGCTGTTGCTTGTCTGAGTGGGTGGGAAGGTAGGCTAACAAGGACCGAAGCTGCAGAATCTATTTGTAATACCATCCATCGCCAGCAAGCGCGGGTTCTATTAATTTGTCAAGCCGATGGGCTTGTTGTGCGACTTGGCTCAACGATATGCTTATCCAGACCGACGGCAACGAACATGGGGCCGCTGACAGTCTGGCGGTTTATTAAGGTGCAGCTTTGGCCGGTTGCAGGGTAAGCAGGAGGCAGCCACCTCGAATATGAGGTTTCGTAATGATGAGAACCGGTAGGCGAGATGGAACTGCATCGAGATTTACCCTAATTGACGGCATGTTCGTCCATCGCCTTGATCCTTTGGGAAACCTCTGGGACGTTTTGTACTTTGTACTTTGTTCATGGGGAATGGGACGAAGCAGTCCATGACAAGTACGTGACTATCCGTTATCAAAGCCCGGTGGAGTGCGGACATGAGCACGGAGCCACAACTTACTTTACCCAGCAGACCAGACGGGCTTCGTGGCGCCGGAACGGGTGGGAAGGAAAGGGAACCAATGAATCTCACAAAGGGGCATTTCTCGGGCCACTCTCGCTTCCAACGCCGCAATACGTGCATCGACCATCAAGGACTCGTGATGAAAACGCCCAGGGCGCACGAGGCAGAAGCTTGGCCTTTCTACCCGCGATACCTAGCCCGGGTGATAGGTCACACGCTGGCTGCCTTATATTCATCTCGTCCCATCAGTACTTTATACTTCTGGCGACGATGTCTCGATGCATACGAGCGGTAGTATTGGAACTAGTAGTAGTATTTTACTGCTAACCACCTACGCTGCAATAAAGCTTTTCGCATGCGTCATTAGCGGGCAATGGCGCAACCTTACTCTTAATCCTATCGCTGCCAAGACAATGCGTATCTCGGATTCGACGGGATCTTTCTTTTTCTTTGCCCAATTTTTCTTTTCCCCCCTCTTCGTGTCGGCGACTGCTGACCTTTTTTGAATGTCGACCTGTCACATGTGGATTGACTCGACAGAGCGGCAGCTGAACGGAGGTTGCTCCGTTCTATGCGGCATCGGCTATGTAGTACTATTGTTTCGTTGCGTTGACAGGAGGTTGATTGTTGCTTTTTCTTTTCATTTCCGTTTTTCTTTTTCTTTTTTTTTTTTTTTTTTGTAATCTTCTTCTTCTTCTAAAATCATCGGGTTTCCTGAAATTGCTCGTACGTATGGGTGCCTTTGCAAAAGTGCGTGGTTGGTTTTATTTTGCATACCCTGCCGGTTCTTCGCTTTAGGTGATGTAGATGGCGTGAACATTCGAAGCATATCCGAGCCCAACAACATTTCCCCCCCAGAAGCTCAAATTTTCAAGACTGCCTCAACAGATTTCGTCACAAAAGCCGTCTGGCATGTAGAAAATACCATCGCGGCTTGGCTTGTTTGAAGAAAAAGGCAAGCCACGACAGAGAAGTGGCTTGGATATAGCAGCTTCATTTATGCGGCCGTGATGGCCATTGAGGTAATGTGCTCGTTAAGTTGGAAGGTCTGGACTCTTTTGCGCTTGTCTTTCTTATGTTCCTGTGTGGCAGTTGTACCATGACGAGATGAAGCTTTGTCAACGTATATCTTACATACTATATAAGCTTTCCATACTGCTAGGAATCGTTTGGAAGATAAGGGGATATCACCACCTACTATCCGCCACTAACGTCTTCCCATGTGCATATCTCTCTGGTCTGTATAGTGCCTATACAGAAGACTGGTGTTTGGCCCCTGTTTGTTTGTAAATCTAGCATGCTAGATATCCGCTACGAGGAAAGAGAACGGCTCAAACGGAGGACAAATCATTCGTCCGAGCGGCTTCTCTTCATCGGGTCATTCTTCACCCATGAGTAATCTCTTTCGCCAAACACGGGAGATACCATAGCATGCGAAAGCGCGTGAAGCTTTTCATTCGAGATAGTCTTGTCATCCATTTTGGAGGTCAACAGCTGCATATACTCTTCCGCCCACGCCCCTTACAATGACATTTCGGCGAAAGCGAATTCCCGAGATCGCCATGTGTAAGCTTCGGCATCTCGGGTATAGCTCAAGTGTTTCCTTTACTGCAAACTTCTCCCAGGAAGCCTTGACCATACAGAACTGAGTCCTTTAAAATGTAGCCCTGGTCACCTTCAAGAGCCCCACCCTGAGCTCATGTTACTTTCTCTCTTGCTCATCTCCCCTTTTGATGCCTTGAGCTTCTGCCAGAAAGAATGCGCGGCAAAGCTGCCTCCCTCCCTCGGGACATTTTTCCCACCCCGCATCATGTGCGCCTCAGAGGAAGGGGGACAAACCGCGGTTTTGACATTTCCTCTCGGCGTTCTAGCTGTAGGCAAGAACAAAGAGAGCCGTTTTGGAAGCGAGATCGAAGAGTTTCTGCGTGATGCTCGGCACAGAAGGTTGGCGATGTGCTAAAATAAGATTGTACAAAATGAGTGAGAGAAAGCGAGGAAGGAAGAGGAGAGTTAATGAACATTTTCTAGCTAAGAAGCAGAAAATACACTTACAAAGCAAAGAAGAGAAAGTACTGCATGCAGAAGGTTATGCGCAAATGATTCGCATATCAAGAGGATCTTGAAAGCTGCGTTCAAAGCATGTTGGCTGGATCGTGAGTAGAACTTAAGAGAAGAGGGAGGAAATGAGAAGAGGTGAAAAGCAAAAGTCTTAGACGCTCATGACTTGATATTTCTCATGATAATCTACTCTTTGCTTCGTTCCAGGGGGCTTTCATGAACCATAAAAACTCAAGCAAAGATACCGATTGGGGCAACTTTGTGTGTTTCGTGATCAGCGGTGGCAGCAGCAATCACAGTATACTCGAAGAAGGCTCTATTAATTGGGGACAGAAGGCTCCATATAGTACAAGGCTTTTGGTAGGAAGGTAGAAACCTTCGTTTCTCTTCACAATGTAGGGCTAATATGTATATATCTAGGGATTCGTTAGGATGCTGGACAGACATCTCCTTGAAGTGCTATTCTCCTTTCTGGCCTGGATTATCCTGAAAAAGGTAGTTTTGGTCCAGTGGGACCTTGCACGTTCCAACAAGAAGGGCTACCTTGCGCGAGACATGGATATCTGAAGTTGAAATGTCAAGTTGAAGAAAACTCTGCTCAGGCTATGATGAAGCATTTCAGGGGCTTTTCACGCGATTGGTGTTTATATGAAGCCAATGACTTGAGTGTCCGAGTAAATGTAGAGCTGATGCCCTGGTTATAGTTCAATGGTGTTATTGGCAAAAGAGTGTCCGGAAGGTGGTAGCCATGCGTATTCTGCGCCCTGTTCAATCTGCCCGCGGCTTGAGTACGTCTTGGACTAACAACTCATTTTCACAAAGGTTGCTTGATGGCTATGTAACAACTGGGAGAGTAGTAGACTCCTTGCGTGTACTGATCTGACGGAGAAATGGCAAAGGCTCGAATCACGATCGTGGGCCGTCGACAGGCTTCATACATCAAGTGATGGTCCACTCAAAATCTCGCCGATGCAACAGTATTTCACCCTTATAGTATTGAGAAGAGAACATGGAATGTTGTAGCTTCTCTTTCGGCAAACTTTTCAGTGTAGAGAGCTCAACACACGTGAAGTTCGTCACTCGCTTCATTACCCGCCTCCCTATAAATACATGATAGGGGTATTTCTATTCCACTTCCGTCTACGCAACAACTACCCAATATGGCCAACCATATAATACAAGATTGCGGCATCTTCTCAAACACCCCGCCGGTTCCGTCCACCCATCATCTCAACAGAGGAATAGTTGCAAACGGAAAACGGCACAGCGCAGATCTCCGAATCCAAAACAGCACGGCTAGATGCGCTCCTGCAGCGTCACCGTCTGGTTGAGCCTTTTTTGTCCCCCTGGCAAGATATTGACCAAGCACCCCCACATGGACGGAGACGACGTAAAGGAAAAGAAACGCCTCATCGCTTTCCCGCAGAATCGCGTTCACTGTCGCAGATGGAACAGGTCGCACAAGATCTAATTTCCCCATGCGTGGGCTGGGATCCCGCTTCGCTGAGATGGGGACCCAATCGCTATGGGGAGCTTCAGCTCTCGAATGGGCGGTGTCGGCCTCCCCGCCTCGCGTGTAAGGTACAAGAGTAGGAGCGGTGGGTGTACAGGCATACAATGTGTATATATATATATATATATACATATAGACAAGTCGTAGAGGGAAAACAAGAGACAAGAAGCGGAACAAGAGATGATGGCACATGCGGCTTCCCGTAAGCCTTTCTCGTCTTTAACCTCAAGATCGGGATCCGCAGTGTAACGCAGGCACGGCGTGGCGCTGCGTCATGCAATCGGTCCCCTGACGCAGATCGCCGTTTGCTGCTGTCGTGCGAGCAGGCTTGGCCTGAATTGAAACAGTCCGAGGTAGGCAGGCGTTGACGAGCACGACAGGCTGGCCGCTGGCCACGCCACGCTCCCGAGACGTCGGGGCAATATCCTGTCTGAGTGACCCGGGCCAGGCTGATGCAACAACCACCGCCCAGAGGTCGAGGTGATGGCCGCATTTAGCAATCGCAGCGCTCGAAATGGCGCGGGAACGGCACCACGTCGCGGACGTTGGGTACACCGGTCAGATAGCTCAGCAGGCGATCAAAGCCAAGGCCGAAGCCTCCATGGGGGGGACAGCCCCAGCGTCTCAGATCCAGGTACCACCCCATGTCGTTGGATCTGGCCTTCCGGTGCGTCGGGACCTCCAGGCCATGCAGGCGCATGTTGTCCTCGAGCTGGGCAAGCCGGTGCTCCCTCATGGATCCTCCAGCAAGCTCTCCGAGGTTGGGCACCAGGAGGTCGAAGCAGTCGACAGTCGGCCCCTGAGCCGGCGGCGACTCGGACTGGAGCATGTAGAAGGCCTTGATCTCCCGCGGGTAGTGCGTGACGAAGATGGGCAGGAACGCGTCGCTCGCTTCGTCGTATCCGATCTTTTCAGCAAGGTACTTTTCATGCTCCGACTGGAGCCCCGAGCCCCAAACGGGCTTGTGCTCGAACTGGTGGGCTACGGGCTTGAGCATCTCAATGGCTTCTGTGTAAGTCACTCGTGGCCATCTGGTGGGCGCCATCAGGCCCCTCCAACGCTGCTGCAGCTCTTTGAGATCCACAAGGTCGTCGAATGCTAGACGTTCAGCAGGGTCTCTGGAGTCGAGTCGATGCTTCTCGAGCTCCTGGGCGGCGCTTCGCTGCCTGAGCCCGCTGGCGAGAGAGGCCAGCATTCTCTGGGCGAGATCCATGACCTCATCCATGTCTTGAACAAAGCTCATTTCAGCTTCGAGCATATAAAACTCGCTCAGATGCCGAGAGGTGTCACTCTGCTCGGCTCGGAACGTGGGCGATAGTGTCCAGACATTGCCCAGCGCCTGGGCTAGAGCCTCCAGATGGAGCTGTGATGAGACAGTGAGGTACTTTGGGTCTCTGAAGAACTCGGACGACGAGGATCCGCTCTTGACGGTGAATGCCTCCCCAGCGCCCTCGCAGTCTGACGAGGTGATGATGGGGGGGTGCGTCTGCTGGAACTTTTCATGGAAGAAGAACTGGCTTAAAAGGGCCATGGCGTCTGACCTCAGCCGAAGCAGGGTTGAGTTGATGGGAGTTCGCGGACGGAGATGTGATATAGCCCGCAGGCTCTCTGGCGTCTGGTACTTGTTCTGGATAGGATACGTCTTGAGGACAGTCAGACCCGAATACACTTGCAGGATAGCTCAGCATGACCGTACCTGAGGATTAGACGCGCCGAGGATTTCCACCTCGTTGACCTGTAGCTCAGCCGTAGCTGGGACGTGGCCAGGACCTGCCCCAGCAGCATCAACAGCTTCTCGCCCTTGGGCCGGAGGAGGGCTTGACGGGATGCGAGGCGTGGCATCGTCCAATCTCGGCTGGTGCGCGGCTGGGCTACGGGCAGGGTTGCCTTGTTGAGGCTCTACGCTGGGTCTAGGAAAGCTACTGTGCCAGACCCCCGTGAGGCGAACGGCGGCGCCTGGGCGGATGCTACCACGGGCCTGTCTGTCAGCTGGTGCTCGCCAGGATGCCGGGACGAGGGCTGACGTACTCGGCGGCCAGGCTCTTGTCGACAACGGCCTGGACGGGCCTCATGGACGAGCCGTCGGTGATGTCAACGAAGCGCACGCTGGCGCTCTTGCGCACTGATCGCACCCATCCGCAGACCTGGACATCCGACACAAGGCGGCCCGGCTGCCATTCCTTCAGGTCGGCCACGGTCGTGACGTCGCCGCCGCCGTCGCCAGGGATGCGCACGGAATAGCGTCGCCGGGCTGCTGGGACTGGGAGCGGCCAGCGCCGATGTCGTCGAGCAAGCAGGCGGAGCGGATGAGACATGATGGGCTGCTCAGAGGCTTCTCGTTTGGCTCAGGTGCGTCTCATGACGTGTGATGGATGCTTGATCCCTGGTGGTTCGGTCCCCGTCGTCGGCAGGGAGATGCAAGCAGGCAAGCGACTGTCTTGGGGTCTCAAATCAGAGGCCGGTGGTGGGCATATCCCGTAAGGATTTGATCGAGGTTGATTGCTGTCTTTCTTTTTTTTTCTGCCCGCTGAAGCTATGGATTGCTGGATCCAGCCCGGAAGCTGTGAGCAGGGGTCCGGCAAAAAAAGGAAAAACTGTTGCGCCGCTGGCTGCGGGCCAAGGCGGTGAAGGCGCTTTGTGCTGCTGTGGCTTGTGGCACCTGGAGTTGGCGAACCGGGGAGGTAGCACAAGAGGCAGGGAGGAAGTACCGGTACGAAGCGACGATGATGAGTCTGCATCTGTACGATTTGGCGCCTCGTATCATTTGCTATGAATGCGCTTAATCGAGCCATCAGCGAGAACTCACGAGGCCAGTTACTGAATTCTAGCATGTTTCCAGTTGCAGCGTCAATATCTTGAGCCAGGCCCGTCAGTCTGGTCAGGCCAATGCAACGGCACGGCAGCGCTAGGAAAGGAGCCGTCTAGCAGCCCCGGCTGCTATGAAGAGCGTCCAGAGGGATGATTGGGCGTTATTGAGTCGTCCTTGCAGCCATGAGCAGCAGCGTTGCAGGCATCATGCATGGGACCCGACTATATTGGCCCATTGCCTTATTATCTAATGGCTGTTTCTGGCCCTCAGTCGATGCCTCGTTTGTTGCCGCTGTATACCTAGTAGTAGCAGGTACACATCACGATGCGTTAGAGTACCTCGTCTGTACCGATGTCCATGGTATGGGGCGGGTACCTCTTTCCTGGAGCCGGCTGCTTGGGACTGCACGATGTCGACTGCTGACTACATCGAGGTACCTCTGTCTGTGCTGGTAGTATCAGGCTTCAAGCTGCCTCTTGCTTTCCTTCCCTCATCCAGCCAAACACCATCTACCTGCTATCACGAATCACGAATCAGCCTCACTGTCACCTCCATCCACTCGCCCGCTCAGTCCATCACAAATTCTCGCACAGATACTGTATCTGCACGCACACGCACTTACACACGCAGCAGTGCCCCGTCCACTCACACGCTCGCCTGCCGCATCGTCATGCACCTCCTTCTGGCCTCTCAGATGCTGCCTCGGGCCGCCCAAGCCCTTGGCGGGCCGCACTCTCCTCGTCTCCCTTTTCTCTCTCTTCCGCGTCGTCGGTCGTCATCAAGTCATGGGCATCTGCTCTGAATGGTCGCCGCAGAAGAGCCATGTTCCACCCGCGCACCCACCGCCGTCGGCTGGCCTTGTTCCCTCGTCGTCATATCATGCTGAGTCTTCAGAAGACATGTCGCCAGAGACGCTCTGGGTACAAGTACCCGCACAAGTACTTGTACATGGAGCATTCGCCCGGCTAACGGCTGCCCAACCAGCGAGCCTCTGATGTCTCAGCTCGAAGCCCTTGTTGCTCGACTTGCGGGCATCGTCGTCAACCCATGAGGCCCCCTCCTGGCCAGTGTCATGGGATTGGGCAATGGCTGCGACCAGGCATGGTTCGATGGCTTCGGCCTGCCAAGTCACAGCCGCCCCCCGCCGCCACTCGTCGAGAGCGCTGGGACAATCCCAGTTCAAGCCAACACACATACAACCAGCACGCATGTCTGTCTCTCTCGTGTACACACTGGTCGGCGGTGGTACCGCCCCTGGCGAGATCTGCCCACCACCTGCCTGTGAGATACTCCCAGACTACACACAAGCACACACACACATTTACTCACAGGTCAACTTACCGGCAGACCCAAGAGGCCCTTGAACGGCCCCCATCCTCCCTGACCCATGTCCTGCGCCGACATAGAACTAGTTTGGATCCTTGCAAGGTTCAACAGGGCGAGATGAGGTATCACAGATCTTATGCGCATGCGTCCGCAACAATACTCCGGCCCATGCCAGTAGCAACACTTCACGAGCGCGCTGTGCTCTGCTCGCATGTGCTCTCCTTCCTGCGGTTTCCGAGTGCGTCTACCGAGCCCAATGAGCAATGAGCAGGCCGGCCTCAGCTTCGCGCACCAGGGCCAGCCCTTCTTCCCGTGTGAAGCTAGAGATCCAGAAGGACCATGAACGCTGGGCAGCCGTGTTTGAGAAGGCCCACGGAGAGGGAGGGGGGCAAGCGGACCGCGTACCATGCCTCTCTAGCTCTTTTGCCTGGGCTCTGGACCTGCCTATGAGATCTTGCAGCACCTGAATCAGAGCACTTTCTGTTCAGTCCTGGGCACTAGACTACCACCCCTCCATGTACAAGCATGTCCCGCCAACTTGGCTGCCGGCGCCCTCGTGGGTCCCGGTATGTATTCCTGTCTTGCCGGCGAGACATCATCTAGCGCCCCCCTAGGTGGTAACTACTAGCAGTCTGTCAAGCGATGCTTGACACTCTCTTTTGCAACTTAAAGATCACTAGCCTCTTGCTTGCTGCTTCTGGCCCTGCCTTCTCGCCTGCCGTTGGCTCTTGTCCCAAACATGTGGTTCAGATTCTCGACATATTGGGTCGTACAATTCACTGCAATCCCTCCATCTCGCTTCACACTCTCGATGAGCTTTCGTTTCTGAAGGACTGCCTGATTGGTAACTTGTCTTGAAGAAGAAAGAGGAAGGAGAAGAAGACGACAAGGAAACCAGAGACAGAACGAGAGACAGAAGAAGCAGAAGCAGAAACAGCATTTTATATCAGGCCGAGACAATGATATAAATGCACTTCACCCGCCCTGCTGACTGGTTTCGCTTCTCGGGATTCAAAACAAGCAGTGCCGCCTCAAGCTCTTATATATAATTCGCGCTTCTCCTTCGTTTTGGTTCGTCTCTCTGGACAATCTTATCTTGTCACCCTCTTCTTCATTCCTGCGACAGTCTCATCTCCCTCCTCAACTGTTCGACCAAACCAAAAGAACCCATGAGTATGGCTCCAACTTCCAGATCCAGCAAGGTAAGGCCGTCCGATGTGGCGGCCGACACCAAGAGGAACTTTATACCTCTCGTGAAAGCCAACTATTCGGAGATGTTCCCTCCCTACTCCGTTCTCTACCGGCAGCCGACGGCACAGCTTGATGTCCCACGCCGGAAGTCGAGCACTCGTCCCCCCATGTTTCGAGTGGAATACGGCGACCCTGTCATGAGGGCCATCTACTATGCTGCCATGGAGACTGAGACCAGTGAGGCGGCAGGTGGGCCGAGAGTCCGGATTCCCTTCATCTGCGCCGCCAACGACCGTCGTCCCGGGGGAGACTGGGAGACTGGCTGCTCCGGCTACGAGGAGAAGCTTTGCCGGCGAAGCAACCTATCTGCCACGCTGAGCACCCCGTGGCCCACGATGGGAGAGGCATCCAACTACCCCATCCCGTCAACCGGGGGCATTCTTTCGGACTCCGTCGTTGTCTCCCGTGGGCCTCATGAGCGCTACGAGCCACTCGATCGCTGGTACGACCTGCCAGTCATCTCTGTTCCGCCTACGCGGTGGCCAAAGCTCACGGACAACGGCACCAAGTACTCCTTTTCGGCGGAAAGGGACATGATTCGAGAAAAGATCCGCGGCGCCCTCCATATTTGCCTCTACAACAGCTATGACCGAGTCGTGATTGGCGACTTTGGCCTCGGCAACGGCTACCGCAACCCGCCGCGGGAGCTCGCTGAGATCTGGCGGGACATCCTCCTCTTCGACCCCCATCTCCGTGGGCAGTTTTCCTATGTCATCTTCGTTTTCGAGGACCCTGCACAGAGCACGACTCGCCTGATCCAAGAGGAGATGCTCAAGAAGGACCGAAAGAGCAGCGGCGTATCCAAGACAAAGTTGCCCCTCGGCTCCGGTGGCACCGGCCCTACCGACATGGACATCTTTGAGGGCGTCTTTGACCCCGCGGAGATTGAGCGCGTCCTGTGCCGGCCAGACCCCCGATACGGGCTCGACATGATCACTTCGTGATGATTGCTTATTTTCTTGTTGTGTGTCATGTTTGGCGAACATGGCGATTCACGGACGGCCAAGAGGGATGAAACAGCCTGCGACAGACTCGAACACGACATGGCTTCAATGCATCTCGAACGCTAGGGAGAGCTTTTTGCCGCCACCCCCTTTCTCTTTCAGTCACTTTCTTAGCTTAAGATGCATATCATTGGCGGGTTTGCAGAGTGAGGGTAAAGGAAAGAATAGGCTGGTTTACTTTTTGCTACAGTTATCGGCGGTATTTTGTGTCTGCATGGGACTCGGATGGACGGGCTAAACTGCTAGGGATATCACAAACTGCTGGGACAAGGACTTTTTTTTTTTCTTCCTTTTTCCTTCCCCCCCCCCTCGGGCTGTTTCCTGTCTCTTTTTTGCCTTCCCGTGCTGCATAGAGTCATATGGCGTGTACGATTGGCTGCTGCTAGTGCAATCTAGTGGTGGCGGGCTGTGGTCCAACACCCCGGGAGGTTCTGTTCTTTTACTGTTCCTATCGTTCTTTCTTTTTCCAGCTGCCTGTTGGGATGCGGCGTGAGGCTCCCGGGATGAGTGAGGAGTGGCCTCGAGAATTTTCTCTCTTTATTCCCCAAATCGAACATGAGCTTGGATCATATCAAACTCGCTAGGGCAACATCCTATTTCTTGGTGACAGAAGCGCAGACAGCTGACACCAGACCCTCGCCAGGCCCCATACGCCGTCTGATATCCGCTATGTGAGGTCTCGGAAGACTCGTGTTGCTGCTAATACGAAGGACACGAACCGCTGCAGTTTACAGGTAAGCGCAGGAGAGAAGAAAGTGTGGTTGCGTGAATGTGGGCATCCAGGCAAGCCTCCGTTCCCCAAACGGCAGACGGACAAGACACGGGTTAGCCTATCGCTGTCAACTGCTGCTGAGCTGCAAAGCTTCAGCAAGGCCCGCCGTAATGGGCGAGACACGCAGCACACACAGTCCGCTAGACCTCCAGGGCTCCCGCCGCGCGAGCTGCTCATTGCTATTATTATCGAGACCTGTCTACGCAACCCCCGGAGTTCCTTGCATGTGTCAGACCAGAACCGGCTGATGATTGAAACCGGTGAGGGCTGGGCCGGGTTGTGTGAAGGGCACTAAAGGCGCCACGGCCCATGTGTCTCTTATGTGATTCGCGGCTAACACGATCTGCATATGGTTCCATTGCCGAAGACGCCCATGCCGTGGACATGGACGTATTAGAGCAAGGGCCTTTGGTGATGACAGTTTGTTTTGACTCAGAATGCCGCTGACGGCTGCAAGAGAGACACGAGGATTATGTATTGCCCTCTCTCTGTCATCGAAGACACTGGCACGGTGAGGAATACTACCGCTGGGGTTTGTGGGCTCGTAACTCATACGAGACAACTGTGAATGGGTGTGGGATGGACGGGCAAGCGGGCCGAGTGCCCGGCCCTCTTCGCGATTCCCCGGTACGGCGGGAGCCACCTGCATCATCGCCGACCTCGATTCTCAACCTGCATGTTCACACATTGGCGGGAAGGATTGAGCCTGCCGAGGATCAAGGATCGCTCGTCGTGAGAAGCGATCCTCCCCCTCTTCCTCTTGCCAACCCCTCTCGCCCCTCTCCTCCCTGACGACTGCTCTCAGCCGCACATTTGGGTCACCGAGCGAGAAGGCAAAGCAATCATCCACCAAGCTTACTCGGAGCTCGCTCCGCGTTTCTGTGTTCCGCCCTCTCTCCCGTCTTTCTTGAATTAACACTTATGCTTACCCTGGCAGGGATCGCGGGACTCGCGCCTCGCCATCGGAACTGTGGCTCCAAGCGTCAATGGTTGCGGCCGCTTGTTGGGGACCACGGGGAAATGCATACTCCATTACCCACTAGTGCCTATGCCTTGTCCAGGGCGGCCCGGAGAGTCGGGGCTTGCTCTCTGCTATCAAGCCTGCGGCCGCATTGACAGCCCGTCTTCCTCTCTTTGTGGCCTGGCTTGCAATTGGCACCAGTACGAGGAAGTGCCTGCCTGCCACGGTGGAAGCGTGTTCTTGCTATGTATCGTCAGGGAGCCAAGTCCGTATTATCCCCGGATAGCAAGGGTTCTGTACACAAATCATGCTTGTGCTGCCAGGCACTTGTCACCGGTAGTTGGATTGTCCGGTCATCTCGCGAGCCTCTGGTCTACTATTTCGCGCTGGTGCCCCCCGTCCTGGATGAGAAAACGGGAGGGGGGTAAGGTCTTGGCAGTGAGCAGTTATCATGGAATGTGACGGACTTACGTTGCTTACAGATTAGCTTCTCAGGACGTGCGATCTTGATGAGCTTCTGGGGCGAGCCTGTTCGTAAATCAGCAGCACTAGACACTCTCTTGTGATTAGCCGGAGGAAGAGCTCACGCGGTCAGATTGCCCGTTGATTACTTTGTGCCTTGGGACCACATGGCGTGCCTGCATGTTGCAGACAGGTATCGTGTGTGTGAAGGTCCATATACTAATTATACACCCTCCTTTTTTGCCATTCTGTATGTGTATGCTGACATTACAAGAAATGCCCGTTGCAGTGGACAAGTACATCATTATGGTTCTCGATTTTACTGACAGCAAGAATATGACACGTCGTCTAGATCACATCAGTCCCATCCATCACGTCCTCGATAGGCTCAACCGGCTGTCGGTTCCTGGGTCCTCCCCGTAGACATTGACAAGGCGAAATGCAAGGGTGGGAAACCGGGGGCGAGGAAGCGGAAGCGGAGTGGGATGCTATACTAAGTACTCTGCTGCTGCTGTTCCATGTAGACCTGCATACATTACAGACTCGCGGTCATCACCGTCTGCTTCATCCCCTACTCCGCTCTTCCGTGTAAAAAACTGGCTGGTTCTTTCAA